GAAGAGAGGGCAGGGGAAGGGGAAAAAAATAAGAGCCAAGATACTCATGTAATGGTACAAGATCCCAATGATGTATGTAAATGTATTTTATACCTAAAATGTACCAATAAACTTAATGGGGGAAAAAGAAAAAGAAGACAATGTTCAAATTTTAGCACACATCTGTCCAGAAGCTATATTTAGAAGGTGAGGCCATCTGCAATCTTTATACAGGATAAGTGTCCCTAATCCAAAAATCTGAAGTCCAAAATGCTCCAAAATCTGAAACATTTTAAGCATCAACATGATAAAAAAAATTTGATATTTTGGAACATCTTGGATTTGAGATTTTTCAGATTATGAACACTCAGTCAGTAAAATCTATGCAAATATTCAAAATCTGAAAAACCACAAAATCAAACCACTTCTGGTTTTAAGCATTTTTGGATAAAGGGTGTTCAACCTGTAATAACAGTAATAATATCATTGTTGTGCATTTTTTACCTTTTATTATTAAAAAAAAAAAGCTTCCTCTATCTTGTCTCTTTTTATTCCCATTGCTGTTTTGTGGAGTGGAGAGGGCAGGCCTTCTCTCTAAAAACAAAACATTTTTGAAACAGGTTCTTACTGTGTTACCCAGGCTGGTCTCAAATGCCTAGGCTCAAGCGAGCCTCCTGCCTCAGCCTCCCAAATAGCTGGGACTAGAGATGTCCTTGCCTTCTTTAAATTTTGCAGCTAAAAAGGGAGATAAAATCATACAGATGAGGTTTGCCCTGTGGGGTTCATCAGTACAAAGTCAAAGTAAAAGCACATGACCGCTCCTCACCCCCACCAGCACACGTTCTGAGAGATAGCAAATGAGGTCACAGACCTCAGAAATTAGGTTGGCAGAAGTTACCGTAACAGGTGACTGCTTTGGCAATGAGTAACCAAAAAAAATTAAAAATAAAAAGCTGAGCCCGGAGAGAACGAATGGAAGCCAGAGGTTTTACAAAAGGTTTCCTTGAAGTAAATTAAGATGACAAAATACCCTTTGGCAACTATCCAGATTAGTACAATTATTTTTAAAAGAATGGTAAAACCCAATGGTGGAGAGAATGTTGGGAACTGGTATTCACAGGGTGCTGGTGGACAATATCAACTGACAGCATATTCTGAAGATGAGCTTAGCCACAGAGTTCAAGAACTTTGAAAATGTTCAACCCTTCTGACATTCCCACTTCTGGGAATTTATCCCAAGGAAATATTCATGAAGAGTTAGGAAGATACAGCTACAAGGGTGTTAGCTTTCACATTGTTGCAAACAGAAAATAACCAAGTATTTGTCAAGAGGATTTAACAAATCATGCAATGTGACGAAAGGCCTTTGTGAAGGGAAGTTCACCGCTGCAGCAAGCTGCTCACAATGCACTACTGAGAGGTAAATGCAGCTGATAACACAGCATTACAATATGAAGATATTTCTTCTCAATGCAAATGTGATCAGAGAAAAAGACACCACCAAAATGTTATAAGACACACTGAGTCTCCCTTATCCTAAGTGCTTGTGGCCAGGAGTATTTCGGGTTCGGGAATTTTGTAGATTTGGGGAAATTTGCATAGCCTTCACTAATGGAGCAACCTTGATCCAGAAGTCAGAAATGGCTGGAATCAGGTAAAAGCATCCAAGGCTTAGATTTTTGAATTAGAGATGCTCAACTGGGAGTGTTTTTCTCACAGTGATGGGTTTTTATTTTTCATATTTTTAGATTATTTGTATGCATTTTGAAATGCTTATTTTTGATAATGAGTACGTGCTGTTAAAGTTTTTAAAAGACAAATTTTAGAAGTGCATCTCCATTCCTTGACCATGGCTGCCAAGTTTTACCAAGTCAATGCTTGGTTCCCAGTAGGGTTTGTAGGTTCGAAGATTTAACAACTGCATGTTGCATTGAGAAAGACGGGCAGAATCTTTGAACCTCACTGCTGTATTAAAAAAATCAAGTTCATCTCGGGAAGAATTTTCAAGTCTTTCTGGGCAATTTCATCGTCTTCCTTTTCCCAAAAGATCAACACATTTGCTAGGAACACAAGTCCTTGGCATGGAATACACACAACACTGCCTCCAGGTGCTTCTGGGGTGAAATTGTGACTCAGCAAACCCATTGCCACCAGCTGTGTCTTTCTGAGCTCCCTCGCCCAGCATCTAGAGACTGGTACACTCACAAACAGTGGGAAGTGGCTCTGGACATAAAGCCACTAAGGGCTTGTGGGTTAAATTGAATGGTGAACCTTGTTTTCTTCTTTTTCCTTTTTCTCATTTGCTTTTCTTAACCTTTCTGATTCTGTCCCATTTTCTTAGTCTTTCCCAAACAACACTATTGATGGAAATCATGGAGGTTAGATGGTCCAAAAACAAAAATGAGGCAGTGTTTATAATAATCCTCCTCTAAGTGCATAGTCATCTCTATAGCTATAGGTGTAACATCTACAAAGTCTCCAAAACTCAGACAAGCATATGCTTTTAATGTTCTATTTTAAGCCTTATTGAAGGATGCACGTACAAGGGTTGCCAATAAAATACATTCTAACAATAAATAGAACCAGCTAATAATAACACAATGCCAAGCATGATGGCATGGCCTGTGTGCTCAGCTACTCAGGAGGCTGGAGCAGGAGGTTTACAAGTTAGGGGCCAACTTGGGTAACTTAGTGAGGCCCTTTTTAAATAAAATTTTTAAAGGGCTAGGGATATAGCTCAGTCATGGCACTTTAAAAAGATGAAAAATCTCATTTAGCATGCATGAGTTCAACCCCAGTTCTACTCCCGTACCACCAAAAATAAAAACAAAAACAAGTTAAACAATTCAATCAGTGAAGCTTTGAGTGAGACTATATCCCTCTAAAATTGTAGATGCTTAACAGAAAGTGATAAAAATGTCTTAATTCTAGCATGCACACAGTGTTATAAAAGGCCTTACCTTTTTGGCCTTTCATTCTACAGTCCTCACCATCTACCAAAAGTCACATAACCAGTAGGGTTTATAAGTAGTGGGCAGCTATCAAATATATTTCCCATGTATTTCATGGTTAATCTTCTATAGAAGAACACATAGCTGATCATAGGTGATCTCTTAGTATGACTCATACACCTATGCTAAGGTTAAATGTGCCCACAGAGCCTGAGAAATCCCCACAGCCTTATTTCAACCAACAGCATAGCATTCTTTCATCTGATTCCATTTGTGCCTCCTAAATACTTCTTTGGTGTGTAAGACCCCACACACACACCAAAAAGTAAAATCTTTTTAAAAATAGTAAAATAAAAAAACAAAAAGCTTCAAGTAAAATTTTTACCTTCTGGGCTCTTCATCTTCGAGGGATTGGAGACGGCTGGTCTGGGCAGAGATGGAAATGCTCAGGATAGCCCCAAAGGGTTTCTCCCCTCTGATGAAGCCTGCTAGCTTCAGGCTGGTTGTTAAAACCAAAAGTGAAGTTTGAAGCCAGCCCCGGAAGACATAGTGAATTCTTCTCTCCCTCTGTGAGAGAGCTTGGGGTCAGATCTGTGTCACACGCGAGTAACAGCTCACATCTTGTCAGGCAACCCAGAGAAAGTGGGCTCTGGGAGACGCCTGTGTCAGAGGCTCTCGGGGCTTTAATCCTTCAGCAGTGACAAATCTGGGGAACTGTGAACAGGAAACTCAGTGCTGGGCAGGCAGCCAGATTCACTCAGCAAATGTGCCAAACCCTTATGAAATCCCAATATCCTTCACTGCAGATCACCTCCCACATTTCACAAGGCCGACTCTCCCTGATACGACCTTGCACCAGACCTGGAGGCGGCTGCTAAAGGTGCTCCCATCATCAGAACCCAGCCAGGTCTGGAGTCTCATGCCCTCCTCCTCTGCCCAGCCTGTCTGTCCCAGTCTGTGCCACAGCACCTCCACAGGGCATCCCAGTGATGCCACACAACCCCGACTCATTTCAGCTCGGGCTACAAACCTGGACCTCGGTGATGGTGCCCATGCCCCAGCCACGCACCCGAAGAATGCTGGAAGGATCTCTTCCCTGCACCCCAGAGGTGGGGTGACCCATTAATCACTCCTTGGTGGCACATGGGACATGGGTATGGAGCTGACCCCGAGCCTCTATCTCCGACATGCATCAGCCAGATCCACCCATGGGAGATAGTGCAGTCAGACCCCCTCCTGTGCCTGTATTCCCATGACAATTCTGTGTTGGACAGGATGCAGCCAAAGCCCACAGCATAAGAGGAACTAGAACAGACCTCCCATTCTGGAAGCCCAGGCCCTGCAAGCTGCAGCCATCACCCTGTCCAAGAAGCTCCATGCTAATCCCCCGGACTCTGGAAGACACCACTGACACTTCTACTCTCTGCACTGCCTCAGCAGCTCTGAGCTGCACTTCCTCCCCTCCTAGGGAGGGCCACTCTGCCCAGCTGTTCCCACATGCTCTTTGCCCCTGGGCACTTCTCCCTGCTCTGACCTGCAAGAGGCTTCTTCTAGGAAGTGCCAACACTCTGGTCCCATTTTACAGATGAAGCAGCTGAGAAAGTGCCTTTCCCAAGATCCCTGAGTCAGGCAAGGGTGGAGATGGGGTGGCATCGAGTCTGGGTTTCTCCTCTGGTCTGACCCAGGATCATGATGCATTTGGGAACAGGGCTTATCTGCTCAGAGACTGGGCCATTTCCCAGCAGCTGTGCCCCACACTTCCTGGCCTCCTTTTCCCAGGGCATTGCATGCTAGCTGGCTACCTTGAAGCTATGATTAGCTGGCAGATTACGACCTTTAACTGAGAGACCAAATGTTCCCATTTAGGCCTGAACAGGGATGTGAACAATGCTAAGAATAAGCAGACTGTCTTAAGGTTCTGGGCAGTGTTCCTGCAACAGCTATGCTGACAGTTTGAACCCAGCTCTGCTGTGCATGCTGCTGAGGACCTGCAGCCTCAGCAAGACACCTGAGATGGCTCCCACAGGCTGTTTAACTTCCCACCCTTTCTCCATGTGGAGAAACCGAGGCCTGGGATGGCCACCTCCACCCTCAACCCGGTGACCTCCTGTCCAAGGACCAGGGGCAGGCACACTGGGGCAAATCTCTCCTGCCACATGGACAGACACAGAGCTGGAGCCTGCTTAAACACCAGCTTGAGAATGAAACCCCACACCCAGGAGGGGCTTCCAGAAACAGCAGAGAAGGTGCTGGACAGGGCTGGGCCCTTCCTGCTCAGGGACGGACCCAGAAGGTCCTCTGGGGGCGTTTTAAAGCTGGGTCTTCGAGTCAGGTCTCCAGAGGTCTACAGCCAGAAGTGCCTGGAGAGCAAGTGCAGGTCTTCCCCAAGCAGCTTGCTGCAGTCCTGCCTGGCCCCTCCCTGTCCTCTTCTTGTCCCCAGCCTTCCGCCTCCCCCGCAATTCCTTCCCCTTTAACCCCCTTTGTCCTCCTTTCTTCCCTCTTCCATTCTCTCCCTCTTCCTCCCATCTCCCTGTTTCTCTGACTACCTCCCTCCCTTTCATGTTTCCTCCCCAAAGGAAGAGAGAGCCAGCAGGGAGGTGCTGCATGGACACCAGGATACCATGAGGTGAGGAGAGAAGCTGCACTCCACAGGGGCTGCAGCATCCACACAAGTGTTCACTGGTGCTGCCTGTCCCAGGCATGCCGGGTCGCGCACTCGCGCAAACACACACAAACATGAGGACATCTCCGGCTGCAGAACAGAAGCGCATGCTGGAGGAGGGATGTCTCATTCCAGATGTGCTTCTGGCTTCCCAGGGGGCCAGGCCAGAAGCAGGGAGCCAGCTCAGGAAGCCGCAGCCCTTTATTCCAGCAATCCCAGCATCCATGGTCAGGAAGCCTAACCCATTCCTCAAGTAGGAGTTCGTTAACCCGATCTTTCTCTCACTAGTTCAGCTCACTGTCTTTGCTGAGCAGTGGGGAGATTTCCTTACAAGGATTTTTCAGGCACTTTTCCATTCAGATGATTTCTTCTCTCTTCCTCCTTCCCACATCTCAGCAAGGAGAAAAATGTCAGGAATCTGCACAGTTTAGTTAACATAAGGGAGCATACATACATACACGCACATGCACACAGATACACACACACTGCACACACACATACATGCACACCACAGTCTTGATTGGGTTTTTCCCAGTTTAGCTCTCCCACAAAGTTCAGGGAAAACAGTCATAGTTGACAACAAAAATTCAATACCAGAATGGAAAATCACTAAAACTCTCAGGTCCTTTATGAATGCTGGAGCATTAAATTCATGCAGCCAAACCCAGAGTTTTCAATATTAAAGTTATCAGAAGACATCATTGCAGCAATTGTATTATTATGCAAGGTCTTCGCAGAACTCCAGGATGTCTGAATTCATACAGAAGAGGTCAGAAATAACACGTGTATTTTCCTGGAAGAGATTTCCCATGCAGAATCAAATTGCATCTGAGAATGTGTGTATCTCTACGCATCCCAACTGACGAAACAGGAGGCTGAAGACAGATGTACAGAACATGTGTGCATGGGTGTGAGTGTGTGTGTGAGCATGTGTATGAATCCCAACCTGGAAGGGTCTCCCTTCCAAGTGCTGTGGAGTAGGAAGGCTCTGTTTTACTAGGTCTGGCAATTGAGTAAATTGGATGATCTCTAAAGTGCCTCCAATGATGCATTCTGTCACTTTAACCTTTGTCCCTGAACAATTATAATATTATGCCCAGTGACCGCCTTGAACCTTTGTGGCCAGATTGGTCACTTGCTTGCTGGTTCCACTCCTGACCCAGGCAATGACGCACAGTACAGATCATTCCTGTGCCTCTCCCTAAGCATAGGGCGGCCTGTGTCTCCTGCTCCCACCAAACCCTCATCCTTTCTACCCTAAGGAGGCAGCATCTGCCTCCATCCATGGGTTGGAGGAATCTTGCAAGCCCAAAGCAGGGAACAGGAAAGTCCCAGATACATTATGACCAGGTAGCTTTTTGCCCCTTCATGAAGCCCTGATTGCTAAGAGAAGTATGAATGGACCAAGAAGGAGCCAAGTCTGGCAGGTCTCATTCAGTCTATTGTTTGGTGAGTTTTCAGATGAGGAGATTAGGCAAAGTGCTGTGGACTCAGTGAATCAGAGCTTCCTGAAAGTATTTGCCAACAACTGTCTGGTGAGTGAAATGCAGAGTGTGGTTAGGAGGGGTGGGTGTATTCACAAATGCCCATAATCAGGGATAAGTGGACCACTGGAAGAACAGGCTCTAGGGGAATCCTTGGGTCTACAGTCAGCCCCTTCTTGGCTGCTGTGTGTGCCACTTGCTTGTCCTTCCAGGTCAGAGCAGCCAGGTGGATGGTGGATGCCGTCATGGTCAGCCTTCTTTTGGGGGAGGGTGGCAGGGACAAGGCAGGCAGGATAAGAGGGAGAGCAGGTGGGAAGGAGTACATGTTCCCAAATATACAAATTCAGGGTTCCTGTTTTAGAAGTTTGGTTCCCAGGTGGTAATGTTAAGAGGTGGTCAGATCTTTAAGAAGTTGAGCCTAGCACAAGGTGATTGGGTCATTAGGGGCATTGCCCTCAAAGAGAATAAAGTAGTTCTCATAAGACCCCAGTTAGTTCCCCAAAGAGTTATTATAGACTGGCCAAGACTGGCCTCTCTCTAGTCTCTGGCTTCCTGTCTCACTAGGTCATCTCCACTTCTCACACATGACCTTAACATGAAGCCACCCACCATGAAGTGACACAGCCAGAGGGTTGCACCAGAGTCTGCACCTTGCTGTTTGGACCATCAACCTCAAAAACATAAGCTAAATAGACTTTTTTTTCCTTATGAAGTACCCAACCAGCCTCAGTTATTTTGTTATAGCTACAGAAAACAGACTAAGATACAAAGTTAGAGGCAGACTTAGAATCTAAAACGAAAAAATTTACCAAGAGAGTATTGGCAAAAGGAACCAGATGGTATGCACGTAGATCCTGGTAATTTTCCAGGAGACAGAAAAGGAGAACATCTTAAGGCCAAGACAGAGGAAAGAGGAAATCGGAAGTGCATAGCAGGTTCACATAGCACCAGGGCAGAGCTGGCACATTTACCACATTCTGGAGGGCCTGGAGGCAAAATGAACTAGGAATTCACTGAGTGAGCAAATCAGGATCCAAAGGACCCATGAAGACGGACCTATGGGCCCAATATGACATCATGAAATTTAACACAGACAAATCTAAAATGCCTTTGTTATGGTTTCTATCTAGATGTCCCCCAAGAGCCTCATGTGCTCCTAGGTGGGGCTTTTGGAAGCTAATTGGATCATAGGGGCTCATAGCTGACTTGCTGTTAGGAGGCAGGGCCTGGCTGGAAGAAGCGATCACTGGGGGTATGGCTTGGGAGGGTGCATCTCCCTCCCCAGCTCTTCCCTTCTCTCTCTGCTTCCTTTCCACCATGACTTGAGCAACTCTCCTCCATCAGGCCCCTTTATCATACCATCCTGTCTTGGATCCAGCCAACCATGGACTTTAAATATGAGCCAAAATAAACCTCTCCTCCTTTAAGTGCAGTGTATTGGGTATTTTCTCTCAATGATGAAGAAAATGACTAAGATACCATTGCACTTTCTAGACCTAATTTCCTGAGTACAGGACAAGGTCTACCAGAAAGCAACAGCACAGGTGGGAAACAAAACCAAACAGATATTAGAATCTCAATTGACTAAGATGCCTTC